CCGATCCCGGATTCCCCCCGATCCTGGATTCCCTCCGATCCCGGATTCCCTCCGCAGCAATCCGGCTCCTCGGTGCCGTGCCAGCGCTCGTCGTCCTCCGCCATCTACATGAACCTCGCGTCCCACATGCAGCCGGGCTCGGTGGCCCGCGTGTCCTCCCCTCTCCCCAGCCCCAGCGCGCTCTCCGACGCCGCCAATTCCCAGGCGGCCGCCAAGCTGGCGCTGCGGAAGCAGCTGGAGAAGACGCTGCTGGAGATTCCGCCCCCGAAGCCGCCGGCGCCGCTCCTGCACTTCCTGCCCAGCGCGGCCAACAGCGAGTTCATCTACATGGTGGGGCTGGAGGAGGTGGTGCAGAGCGTCATCGACAGCCAAGGTCACTGCCCGCCCCGTTCCCGGGAAAAACGGGGCAATTTCCAGCCGGAATCGCGGCCCTCGGGGCAAACCGCGGGGTCTGGGGGCGCTGGGAGGGGTTTAGGAGTTGTTTGGGTTTGGGGGGAAGCCGTGGGGTTTTGGTTTTTAACGGGTTTGCGGGGTTTCAGACCAAGTTTGAGGGATTTCAGACCAAATTTGAATGATTTTAGAGGAAGTTTCCAGAATTTCAGGCCAAGTTTGCAGGATTTTGGACCAAATTTCCAGGATTTCAGACCAAATTTCCAGGATTTCAGACCAAATTTGAATGATTTTAGAGGAAGTTTCCAGAATTTCAGGCCAAGTTTGCAGGATTTTGGACCAAATTTCCAGGATTTCAGACCAAATTCGCAGGATTTCAAACACAAATTTCAGGATTTAAAAGACGAATTTCTGGGATTTCAGACCAAATTTCCAGGATTTTGGCCAATTCTCAGGATTTCAAACACAAATTTCTGGATTTCAGGCCAAGTTTCCAGGATTTTGGCCGATTCTCAGGTTTTCAAACACAAATTTCGGGATTTCAAACACAAATTTCAGGATTTCAAACACAAATTTCAGGATTTCAGACCAAATTTCCAGGATTTCAGACCAAATTTCCAGGATTTCAGACCAAATTTCCGGGATTTTGGCCAATTCTCAGGATTTCAAACACAAATTTCAGGATTTCAAACACAAATTTCAGGATTTCAGGCCAAGTTTCCGGGATTTTGGCCGATTCCCAGGATTTGTGCCGGGTTATTTTTGCGATGTGTGTCGGGATTGCGGGGGCTGCAGGCCGGGGTTCCGGGTTGGTGGCGGGTGTGGATTTGCCGTGCGTTTCCCAGGGAAGAGCGCGCCGGCGGTGCCGCGCGTGGAGCCGTTCGTGTGCGCGCAGTGCCGCACGGATTTCACGCCGCACTGGAAGCAGGAGAAGGGCGGGCGGATCCTGTGCGAGCAGTGCCAGACCTCCAACCAGAAGAAGGCGCTCAAGGCCGAGCACACGAATCGCCTCAAGAACGCCTTCGTCAAGGCCCTGCAGCAGGAGCAGGTCGGCATTCCCGGGAATCCCCTGCCGGGGCTCATCCCATCCCAAAGTGTCCCAAAACACTCATCCCATTCCATTGATCCCATCCCACTGATCCCACTGATCACACTGATCCCACTGATCCCATCCCATTGATCACACTGATCCCACTGATCCCATCCCAGTGATCCCACTGATCACACTGATCCCATTGATTCCATCGATCCCATCGATCCCATCCCAGTGATCCCACTGATCCCATCCCAGTGATCCCACTGATCCCACTGATCCCACTGATCCCACTGATCCCATCGATCCCATCGATCCCATCGATCCCATTGATCCCATTGATCCCATCCCAGCGATCCCACTGATCCCATCGATCCCATCCCAGTGATCCCATCCGCTGATCCCATTGATCCCATCCCATTGATCCCATTGATCCCATCCACTGATCCCATTGATCCCACTGATCCCATTGATGCCATCCTACTGATCCCATCCCATTGATCCCATTGATCCCATCCACTGATCCCATTGATCCCATCAATCCCATCCCAGTGATCCCATCCATTGATCCCACTGATCCCATCCCACTGATCCCATTGATCCCATCCTGCTGATCCCCTTGATTCCATCCCATCGATCCCATCCCTTCATCCCATCCATTGATCCCACTGATCCCATCCATTGATCCCATTGATCCCATCCCACTGATCCCATCCCACTGATCCCATCCTTGCTGGGTTGGCATTCCCAGGGGTCTGAGCGGGGTGACATTCCCGGGGAATTGAGCAGGGTGACATTCCCGGGGGTCTGAGCGGGGTGACATTCCCGGGGAATTGAGCAGGGTGACATTCCCGGGAGTCTGAGCGGGGTGGCGTTCCTGGGGACATTCCGGACGGCATTCCCGAGGGAACGATTCCCGCAGGAGATCGAGCAGCGGCTGCAGCAGCAGGCTGCCCTGTCCCCCACGGCCGCGCCCGCCGTGCCCAGCGTCGGCAAACAGGACGGGATCCTGCGGCACCACACGCTCCGGCAGGTGGGAATGGGATGGGGGAGCTGGGAATGGGATGGTGGGAATGGGATGGTGGGAATGGGATGGTAGGACACTGGGAATGGGATGGTGGGACACTGGGAATGGGATGGTGGGACACTGGGAATGGGATGGGGGGACACTGGGATGTGCCCATCGGGGTGGGGCGGGGTTGCCGCCCTTTCTCCTCGTTCCCCCCGATCCCAGTTCCCGTTTTCCGGCCCCGCAGGCCCCGCA